TTTGCTTCATCCTTTTTCATATATTCTCTATTTTCTCTTTTATTACCTTTCTTCTCTTTCCTCTCGGACGGTTTATCAACATTCATTTCTCTTTCCATTTCATCCATTAAGCGTTCTAAACTATCTTCTTCTTCAAGATCAGCCATTATAATGATATCATCATCATCGTCATTAACTTCTTGATCTTCTTCAATTTTTTTCGAATTTTCTATAATTTCTGTTTGATTCTCATTTATCATAGATGTTTTATCATCTATCCCATCTTTTTTAATATCTTCTGATTTTGTAATTACAGTTTTCTGTTCTTTGTTATCTTCTTCATCTGAACCACTTCCACTATCTTTGAATCGATGAAATTTTGATACTTCTAAAAATATTATTCTTATATATAAAATATTCAGAAAATGATACAAAAAACATAACTAGAGTGAGGTATATTATAACAAACAATATTACAATGAATGAATGCTACAATAAATGATTTTCATTATTAAAAATAATATAAATGAACAAATGTATAAATATAAATATAAAAATATAATTTATTACAACTATATTTATAATTTTAGTTATATTTTTTATTTTGTTATTTTTTATATTTAAATTATTTGGAAGAACTTTATTGTATCAATGTATCAAAATGTATTAATTTTAAAATATATGTATATATATTTTAATTTATGATACAATAAACAGATACAATAACAAAAAGAAATTCTAAAACCAATTAATTTCTTGTAGCATATCCTATGACAATATTAAATATCTTTATTATTTTACATACCTGCAGAATAAGAGTCTATATTTGAAACAGTTTTCTCTACTGAACAAGTTAAATCACTTTGCTGCAGCACAGAACGTTCATCTACAGGAACAATTGCTATCAAATTTGGATTACGTGGACTTTGATAATATAAATTCTGTAAATAATATAAATAATATATATATATGATATTTAAATAAAATATATATTTATTGATTAAATATATAATAATATTCATTAATTAAATATATTAATAAAATATATTTAATATTCATTACATAATATTTAACATTCATTATATTTAATATTAAATAAGATTCAAATAAATTCATTCCTTATTCATTGTTAAAATTATACAAATTAATTATTTATTTCTATTTATGTATTAAAAATATTAATGTGTTTTAAAATATTGACAATAATATTTCTTGATTATGTTATGGATTAAAACTTTATCAAAACTAAAAATGATATTATTACAAGTATAATAGCACAATTTGTATTTATTATACTTTTATTATAATGTATATCACAATATAATTTAGTATTACAAATAAAAAAAGTATCACTGATAATTCTAAAAAATTCTATAAGAATTTTAACAATAAATATAACAATAAATTATATAATAAATTGAAATTAGATTTTTGTTTGAATTAATCATTAATATTATATTCATTAAATTATAAAAGAAATAGAAGAAAAGTACAAAAAAATCACATAAAATTTACAAAAAATTGAATTTTTTATTTATATATAATGCTCAAAATAATCAAAAGATTTCTACTAAAACAAATCTGTTGCACTATTCAAGAAAATTGTTCCAAATCATTGTATCTCATATTGGAAGAATTACTAATAAATATATATTTATAATATATTTATATATATTACTAATAAGATATATAATTAAAAACTGAAATGCTGAAAATTATGAACAACAAATTATGAAAAACAAAATTATATGAAATAGTTGTTAAAAAATATAATATCACAAATAAATATTATTATTTAACAAAAGAATAAAAAAGCTACTAATATATTAATATTTCAAATAATGTTTCTAAGATCAAAATATTATTCCTATTAATTTTTTTTAAATATATTAAAATGCATAAAGATTTGTCATAAAATGTATAAAATATAATATAAAATATTTAATAAAAAATTTGTAATATAATATGTAATAATATATGATGATAATATAAAATGTATAATTTATTTAATTTTATTTTTAAATAAATTTTCTAAACAAATATTTAAAATAACTTGATATTTATAATAAAAATATATTATAAATTATTATTTTATATAATTTTTGTAGATTAAATATAATAAAATTACACTTAAAAAAAAAAATTCTTGAAATTTTGATTCACATTTTCTTCAATTTTTTAAGTATATATTAATGTTTTTACATACTTTTTTATTAAATAATATTCAAATGTTTTTTATAAACTTTTAATAAAAATTAAAAGAGAATTTATTTGATAATACTTTATTATATCATAATTTTATAAATACATATAATAAATGCAATTACTTTTTATTATTCAATAAAAAGATTCAATAGTTTTCAAAAAAAAAATCAGAAATTTTCATCATATATTGTTTCATTTAAATTAAAAATAATAGCAAAAAAAACTATTATTAATAAAATATTTATATTAAATAATGAACTGATTAATATTAACTATTTAATAACTATTTATATATATTTATAATACTATTTATATATTATATATATATTATATATATATATATATTATATATTATATATATAAATATTATAACTATTTAATAATAAACTATTTATACATAAAGTAAATGTGAATTATGAATAATTATTATAAATATTATAATAATAATTAGAAACTTACGCCATTTTGCCGCTGTTGTATTCGATTGTGGAAATATCCTCTTCTTAAAGGTCGTTGGCCTTTATAAGATGAATGAGATATATGTATTATATCTGAAATATTCTTCTGTGGTGGGGGCTGTTTTTTATTATGCACAGTATCTTTAGTTCTTAATGATTGAAGAGCTGCAAGTCGCAATGCTTCTAAATCTTCATCATCTTCATCATCATTTTTTGTATTTTGTTGAGTATTGTTTGGTATAACCATCTATAAGAAATAATACAAATAATTTTTAAATATTAAATAATTAAAATTTGTCGATAATAAATATAACTATATAAATTTTACAATCATTGTAAATATTATTGTAAATATAATACATAATTATATATATTATAAATACTAAAATTGTTTACAATTTTACAATTTAATATTTTACAATTTTACAATTTTGTAATTTTTCAAAATTATAATATAAAATACTTTTTTTCATAAAATAAACAAGATATATATTCGCGCGCGCGCGCGTGTACGTATATGTGTGTATACATATGCACATGTATTTATACGCGCATTTATATATTGACAAAATTTAATAATTAGTAATATAAAATATTATAAATTAGTAGTCATGCACTATCAATTTTTAAACAATTTTAAAGTGACTTATACATATAGTTTATGACAGCATTATATATATTATCGGAAATGAATAATTATATATCATATTAATAATTGAATAATATATTATTTTGATTTATTAATCTTTATAATAAGTTTATAATTACCTTCTGACGATAATCCATTTTATCCGAATTGTAATTGTAGAAAAACCTGTAGTTAACACCAATAATACGAAGGTCCAGCAATTGCATTAATAACTTTATATGCTTGGCGATAATATAATTTTATCTTATGTATAATCACAATTTATATTACAATTACATCGCATAATCAAGTTCCATTCTAAGATCAATTTTTTGATAATTATAAATCCCATATACAATGTTGCACACTTTGTTACCCCCCACCACATATAAATAAAAATGGCGTGAGCGCTCATAAAAGGTCTTCGATGTACAGTCTAATATATGATGTACAACTAGTTGTATATTTCATAATCCATATTAAATCTATTTTCATTATACTTGTGACATGTTTTCATAAAAAATATTGTTTATAAAATAATAAAACAATTAATATTACTTAAATTAAAAAGTTATATTTATTATATAATTATAAAATAATTATTTTAATAATATTTCATTTTTATGGTGATATATTATCTCATTTCATAAAAATTAATTTTCATCAAAAAATTGTATTTTTAATTGTAAAAGATATAAAAAAGGTTTAAATATTAATTTTTAAATTAAATTACTAAATTAAACTAACTAATATAACATAATCGATTTAATATATAAGCTAGCAATAAATGTAATAGTTTGTAATATATTATAAATAAATATTATAAATAGTTAGTAAAAATTTGATTACATGAAGAAATAATTTATTATTAATCATTATAAATATTAAATTAATATTTATATGATTATAAATATTAATCATATTTCTCACGATTTTATTGTTTTTAATAATATATTATTTTTTATTTTTATACTAAAACACACTGACTAAACATTAATAAAATTACAATATAATATATTTTTATAAAATGTATTATATGTATATAATATATAAATGTATGTAATATATAAATAATGTATAATAAATTATGTAATAAATTATTTTTTATATATATTAATTTTGTAAAATTAATATATTATTAATATATTACAAATTAAAATTTTGTATTTTTTAAAGTAACGTAATATTTTAATATTAATGCATAATTTTTTTATATTTTAAGATTTTAAAATTTTAATAATATTTAAAATAATTTTGATAGTTTTTTCAAATTATGGATATAATTTTTATATTTTTAACTTATAAGAAATATAATATTAAATATTTATTATTTTTAATATTACTAAATATATAATAATTTATTTTACAATAAAATATAAAATTGAAATTATATATTGATTATATTGAATATAGAATATTAGATAATGATAATAATGATGAATAATGTTCACTAAAAGTTACATATTGCAATTTAATAAATTTCTATAATTATGTCAATTTTTAAATTTTTTTAGATTTTATTTTAATATTTTTAATATCTTTACATTTACCTTAATGTGTCAAATATAATTTTATTTCAATATTATGAATTGAATATTGTGATATATTGTAAATAATATTATATGTTTGTAAAATTATACAATTTTTTTTATAAATGGCATTTAAAATAAATATCATTTATAAAAAAAAACATTTTTTTTAATAAAATAAAAAATACTTTAATAAAAAATATGAATTAATTTTATTTAAATGGACAATATTTTATTATTTTGATTATTTGATTTATTTAAATATGGCCATTGTATTATTTGGTAATCAGCTATATAATACAAAATTTTTCCTGTTAATGATAGAGTTTTCACTCTACAGATGCTTTCAACAAATATTATAGTAGTTTGTGTAATATACAAAACTTTAATAAAAATGCTATTATACACAAAGGAACACAAGTGCCTGGACCATTACATAGAAGTAATTCTGGACATTCTCTCCATAAATGAGGAATTGATTCAAGAATTGCATAAATAGTAGTATAAATAGTTGTATAATATGATTGATGAATTTCTCTGCTTCTACGAATTTTAATAATTTTATAATCTTTGTTATCTTCTTCTAAATATTTAACTTTCTCAATGCTCATTAAATCTGTATCAGCATGTACATATATTCTTGGTGAGTAATTTTTGAAGTTTAAATACTTAAGGATTCTTATCATTTCTGCAGTATGTCCACCAGACCCTAATATTATCATTATTTTAGCTGGATTATTTCGAATTGGTTTTTTTCTCCCTTTCATTTTATATGTATAAAATATTACAAAATATATTCTCCCAATGATTACCAGACAAATACAAATGTAAATATAATATATTGTATACATTTTTATGATGTAACTGCAACAATTCAAATTAAAATAATTAATTTATTAAATTATTTTTATTTTTTTGGATTAGTATCAATACATCACAGGCAATTATGTATTAACAAAATTAATCTAGATTAAGACTAGATTATTGTATTTAAATAATATTTTATTATACACACACACACACATACACACACACACATATATATAAAACATTTAATCTTTAGTATAATTTTATATACAATATAAAATTGAAAATATAAATTCATTACATTTAAGAGAAAATATTAGATTTTAATCAGATTTGAATTTGTCAATTGTCATATTTTATATTACATATTAGAATAAAAACATAACTAATAATTTTTTATCAATTTTTATAAATATTTTAAAAGAAAAAATTATTGTAAATCTTACACAAGAAAATATGAATTCAATAATATTGTAATGTCAAATATAGGATATAAAAAGTTATAAACATAAACATTTTATATCAATTAGCAATGTTTTATATAACTTATATCATCTAATTGAACTTAACTGTTTGTTATCTTTGCATTCTTTGTTATTTAATTGTGAAAGTGTATATATATATATATAATCTAATTTTTTTTTAATTATCAATGAATGTTGTATGTGATATATGTGTATAAAGTATCTGAATAGAAAAAAATTATTGAAAATAATTAAATACTTAATATATAATTTATATATTTTTATATATATAAATATTACGTAATTATTAAAAAATTTATTTTAAAAAATAAAAAACCTGTTAATATTTATTACTTATATAAAATATTAAGGTTAGAATTAGGACATATGTATTACAAAAAAATTATAATATATTATAATATATTATAATATATAATAATTATAATATACATACCATTGCAGTATTTTTTTTGTATGTGGGAAAAATCTTTTAAAAACTTCCGAAATTCAAGAAAGAAAACGCGTAATATGAAATTTTTGGAATCAATCTCGTATAGAGAATATCCTGAAAATATCAAAGTAACTTACATATCGCGATGGTTTTCCTAATATACAAACTATATATATTGCAATATCTGTAGTTTAAGCATTCTATTTTATTTTACTTACGCGCGCGCGCATGTATGTGTGTATAATTTTGTTTATATAATAAAATAAAAAAATAATAACATATAACATATAATATATAGGAAATTAAATCAATTTTTAAATAATATAATAAACGTTATTAAAATTTAAGGAAAAATAATGATATAAAAGATAAATTTTCTAATAAAATAAACAAATTGAAGAAGACAGTAATTGAATTTCTAATTCATTAAAAATTTATTTTATTTGATATTTTATTAAATTTTTTATTTCAGAAAAAATTGAATAGAAAGTTTCTTCAGTTATATTTTGTAAAATATTCACTACATATTCCTCAGAAATGTTCTTATATGTTTCTTCAGCTGAAACAGATATAAAAAAAAAAAATTTAATTATAATTGAATAAAATATTAAATTATTTAATTTAAATAAAATATTATAGGAAGAAATATTTTATTATATGCTAGTACAGATAAATTCTAATATCTAATTTAATAGAATCTATTGTGAATAATTTTGATTTTAAAATATTACTTACATTTTAATAATAAATGTCCAAAAAGTTCACAAGCTGCTGGATTAAAAGCATTAATATTTTTTGTACCTTCACTTGATTTCCTACTCCAAATATAAATCCGTAAATCTTTATATTCTTCTGTACAATTTAATTTTGCTCTTGTAATATAAACATTATGTGCTATTTGTGCATTTTGTAAATAATTTATTATTAAAAATGCCCAATTAACAAAATCATCTATGTTCTGAACATTAGAATACTTTATACAAAATGCCTTTGCTGGATATTTTTCTAATATTTGTACAGGTCCTATATATTCTTTGAGATCCTATAACAGTCAATTGATTATTAAGCCTAATTAAAATTGATTTTAATATATTAAAGATATTATATTTAAAATAACATAGTATATATTAAAAGTACACAGTATTAGACTGTTTAATTATAATTAGAATATTGTATAATTATATTTATTGAACACGTAAAAATGCATATTGTATATATTTTGAAGATTTAAATAAATAAATAGAAAAACTAAAAATTAAAAATTATACTCCTTATAAAATTAGTATAATAATAAAAAAAGAAAATTGAAAAATTTGAAAAAGAAATATTTAAGGTTAAAAAATTAAACAATGAATAAATTCCTATATTCAATTTTTTAAGCATTAATATATAGAAAATATAGAAAAATATATATAAATTTATTTACAATGTATTCCAATAACATTCTCCATTTCAAATAATATAAATGCCAATGAAGATGGTTTACAGATGCATATGCACAAAGACTATTAAAAGCCACTCTGAGATATCTAAAAAAATAATATACATATATATAATGAAATATTCATTCAATTATCAATATAATATATAAATATTTACTTTAACAAGAATTGAAATAAAATTGAAATGGCAAAAAATATAGTCAAAATTTAGAGAAAGTTTAGAAACACACTACTTTTTATAACATTTTATAATATACATTATTATTCAAAGACATAATTTAAAAATTCCTTTGTCAATTTGAATCAAAAAATAAATTCTATAATATATTTTGTTTTTACTATGTTCATAAATATTTAATTTAAAATTTTAATTTTAATTAAAAATTTGATATTTTTTGTCTCATTTCTAAACTTTCTAATATACTTACAATGAAGAACTTAATGAAAATAATTCAATAGCTTTAAATAAGCTATATTTGGTTATAACTTGAGGTAATTGTTTATTCTTTGTGGCAGCAATAAAGAATGGCAATATTCAATTGGACTAACATTAATTACAATTACATCATCTTTATCTATACTACCTAAATTCATTATTTGTTCTTCTGGTTTAACTTTTGTAAAATTAAATTGTTTGTCATTGAATGATTGTTTCATTGATATTATATTCTCTGGAGATCTTCTTTTATAACCACGATCAGTATTGAGCTGAAATTAATAAAAAATTCAATAATAAATTTTCTTTTTATTATAAAATTATTTTATTAAAAGATAAAATAATGCAAATAATTAGATTATTGAAATAATAGAAATTTAATTGAATAATTGAAATTCATGTTATAGTAAGTAAATCTATTTCATGAATTTTAATTTATGTTATAAGAAAAGTTCATTTTATTCTTTTGTTTAGAATATTTCAAACTTTATAAAATATATATATAAAAACAATAATTTTAATGATTTAATTATTATAGAAATGATTAATATATTTATTCCAAAAAAATTAAGTTAATTTAAATTTTTCATAAATGTAAGTTCTTGAAATTTTTGAAAATATTTGATGTATTTGATGTATTTTTTGAATGAAAGCAATCAATATATTTGAAAATCAAATCATCAATATTATATTTTTATTTTTCTTTTAGTAATTAATAATTAAATAATTTTAAATATTACCTGGATTAAAAAATGATATTTGCCTTTTAATATTTTTGATTCTTTAATGTTTAATATATAACGAAATATTTTATTTTTTTGGGCTTCTATCCATTTTTGTTCTAAAATGGCATCAAAATTAAATTTCTCATTTCTTTTATCGTTTTGAGTAAAACTACAATTTACTTGAGTAAAACAATTATAATGCATGATTTTATTGAAAAAATAAAAAAAAATTTAACTCGAAAATTATTTTTTAAATCCTATATTTTTTTGGTGAAACACTCTTTTTAATAAATAAATCAGCCTTATTTTTTTTAAATGTTGATCACATTGATTTGGTTATATTCACATCCAATGATTTATTTTGTCAGATAAATATTCTAGATTTGGATTCCCGTAATTGATTTCCTACTCTTATACATTTTATTATCACATTTCATAAATACATATATACATCATATATATATTCTATAAAAGGTTTATTCATTATTTAACATTTTAAGTAGTGTTATAAATAATTTAATGTCAGAATTAAATATTTAAACTTGCTTAATTTTCTATTTCATATAAATAAATTATGATGGATTTTTCAACAAATGATTTATTAGAAGAAGTTCTAAAACTTGATGTTGTAAAAAATTTGAAAGTTTCGATACAATCTTCTATCAAATATGGAATAATCGTCGGTTTATCAACAATTGTTAGTGGTATACTTGGTGGACCTATTGGACTAGCAGTAGGTAGTTATTTTTTATATTGATTATTTTATTATGAATTTGTATTATTCTTAAATTTTATTTTCATGTATTTAAGTTAAGATATAAGATTGCAACATAAAAATAATTTATTTTTAGGAGGTACAGTCAGCAGTCTTATAACAACTTATGTTGCACAAAATGAATTTAAATCTGTTCCATATATTATTTGGAATGAAACTACTCCAGAACAAAGAAAAAAATTAGCAGAATTAATAATTAATTTTCTTAATTCAAAAAATATCAAAAAACTTACAGATTTTGTACTTTCTCTACCCAATAATATTTCATTACAAGAAGGATTAATACAAATATTAATATTATTTTTATCTTCTGAACTAAATATGTATGTGAAACAATAAAAATAATGTAAGAACAATATATATTTAGAAACAAACTCATTATTTTTTTATGGTATAAAAATAATTTATTAATGAACTTTAAATATTTTGAAAATATCTAATTAATATTTATTTATTAATATTTATACTATGTATTTAAATAAAGTGCAATAAACAATATTTTTATATATTTATTTTGTTTTTTAAATTGTTTATTAAATAAAGAAAAATAATAAAAGATATTTGAAAATATTGATACATATAAAATTTATAATAATTAAAATTTATTAATATTACATTTCATAATTTTCAATTTTATATTATTGTTTTTACTAATTTATTATATAGATTATTTTATTTTTATAAATTATTAATGTTTTTAATTGATATGTAATATATACAAAATTATTTATTATTAATTTAATAATTTAAAAATTAATTTATTAATAATTGATGGAAAAGCTTAATAAGTTTAGTTCCTTTTTATTTTATTAATATTCTTGATTTTGATGTTATTAAATATTTAAAAGATAATAAATATACATTAATATAATATAATTTTAAATAAAAACATTTTGCAAGACATATAAAATATATATATACTTTTAATAATAAAGGATAAATTATTATAATATAATATTATTATAATAAATTATTATAATTAATAAGATATTTTTAGAAAGTTATAACATATAATAGATATAATATTATCTTTAAATAAGCTTATATATACTATATTTGGTTATATATATATATGTGTACTAATTTGAAATAATTATTTATTTCTCATGTTTTATATTCATGATCACTTTTTGAAAATTTCAAATATAATTTATTTATAATAAGTTGTATAATACTGCAAATTTGATATTAATAATTAATTAAGTAATTATATTTAATAAATAAAATATTAGCATAAATATATACACATATACATAATAGAATTCTCAACTAATCGCGAAAAATCTTAGAACCAAAATTTTTTAGAATACGATTTTATTATATATATATTGCTCTATTGTACATAAATTATGAATTTATTTCAAACCTCTATTTTAACATTTATAATATTTACATTACATTTACATTACATTTATATTATAAAAATGTATAAAAATAATTTATAAACTAATATACATTATAAAAATGTATAAAAATAATTTATAAACTAGATAAAAGATATGGATCTTTTGAATTGATTCTGATAGGACTAATTCATAGAAATAGACATATTAACAAACAAAATCATATAACATTATATATTTTTTTCTATCGTTTATCGAAATTTTTAAATAATCAATTTTTTTTAGAAAATATTATATTCTATATCATTATCAATATAAATTGATTTTATGAAAAAGTAATTAAAATTAGAATTTAAATATTTGTTAATAAAATATAAAATATGTTTTTACAAAATATATTTTTAAGTAAAGAATTCATATTACTAGTATGAGAAACTTAAGTTTGCATAACACAGATGACGCTGTTTCTTTTTTGACAATAGATTGTCCGTTCTTATAATTTCTTCTTACATGTACATGGCGTAAGTGAAGGTAAGTTAAATTAATAAAATGTTTAAAATTATTGATAAATTGCAATCATTTTGATATTTTTTTTGAATAATAATTTGATAATTTTTATAAATTTTTGTTTTAAATCTTTATATTTATAATCATAATATTTTAATATATATAATATGAATAAAAATAGTACACATGGTACATTTAATAAACGTGGTTGTGTATGTCCAAGAAAATGATACTTTATATTAAGAATTAATAAAATATGTTTATCTCATGTTTATCTCATGAAAACAAAAAATATAAATTATATGAAGCATTAGAACTGTTTTTAAAGTATCATAAATATATAATGATTTCTCAATGCACATACATGTAAAATGCGAATATAAATTAATGTTTGATTATTATTTCGTTACATTTATTTATTACTAATAAACTTATAAAAAATTAAGATTTATAATATACTACATTTGAATAAAAATCAAAATATATGTATGCATATAAATATTAAAAAATAAAAAACAAATATTAAAATATATATTGATAGATATAATAAATATTATTAATTTAGATTTTAAATACATATAAAAGTATATGTTATTATATGTATCATAATAATAAAGAATATTATAGTATTATTAAAATGTATTATATTAAATATATTAATAATATATATAATATAATATATATATATTAATAATATATATAATAGTATATATATAATTTTTTTTAATTATTACAAATTTTCAAAATTAATTAATATTGAAATTTAAATATAATTATATTTGTAAGATAAATTTCATTAAATATGGATATATTTAGAATTAAAATTTTTTTGAATCTAAAAAATTCTCAATTCTTAAAAATCTTTATAAAGATTAAAAATTTTTGAAAAAAAGAAAAGAAAATTTGCTTTGCAGATAATTTGTAAAAAAAGAATAATCAACATTCAACATGCCTCAAAACGAATATATTGAAAGACACCGTAAACTATATGGACGACGTTTAGACTATGAAGAAAGGAAAAGAAAAAAGGAAGCTCGTGAACCACATAAACGAGCAGAACGTGCTCGTACTTTACGTGGTATAAAAGCAAAGATTTTTAATAAAGAACGGAGAAATGAAAAGATTCAAATGAAAAAGAAAATAAAATGTCATATGGAAAAGAAAGTAAAAGAAAAATCAAATAATGTACCAGAAGGAGCGTTACCAGTATATCTATTAGATCGTGATATTAAAAAAGATGCTAAAATATTATCAAATATGATAAAACAAAAACGTAAAGAAAAAGCTGGAAAATGGGATGTACCAATACCTAAAGTTAAAACACAATCAGAATCTGAAGTTTTTAAAGTAATGAGAAGTGGAAAATCTAAACGTAAATCTTGGAAAAGAATGGTAACAAAAGTAACATTTGTTAATGAAAATTTTACCAGGAAACCACCTAAATTTGAAAGATTTATTAGACCAATGGCACTACGTTTTAAAAAGGCACATGTAACTCATCCTGAATTAAAAGCTACATTTTGTTTGCCAATTATTGGAGTAAAAAAAAATCCAAGTTCACCAATGTATACAAGTTTAGGTGTTATTACTAAAGGAACAATTATTGAAGTAAACATTTCAGAATTAGGTCTTGTAACTCAATCAGGAAAAGTGGTTTGGGGAAAATATGCTCAAGTTACAAATAATCCTGAAAATGATGGTTGCATTAATGCCATATTACTTGTATAAAAAATTTTTATTAAATAATTATATTGTGATTTGTATGATGTGTAATAAATATTATAATAAATAATATAATAAACATAATTTGTTATTATTTACTTAAATATTTTTACATTCAATAATATTGTAAATAGATAAATTATATAAATAGCAAAAATTTTTGATGATTATAAAAATTTTAAACCATAAATCGTAAAATAAATAAATTTCATATATTGTTTGTTTAGATTCACCATGCAGATATTTGTGAAAACTCTAACAGGCAAGACTATTACTCTTGAAGTTGAAGCATCAGATACCATTGAAAATGTTAAAGCAAAAATTCAAGATAAAGAAGGTAATATATAAAATACATTATATTAAATATTAATTTCTTAAATATTTGAGTTTGAATTTTAGGAATTCCACCTGGTCAACAAAGATTAATCTTTGCTGGAAAACAATTGGAAGATGGTAGGACACTCTCAGATTATAATATTCAGAAGGAATCTACATTACATTTGGTGCTACGTTTAAGGGGTGGTGCTAAAAAACGTAAGAAGAAGAATTATTCAACTCCAAAAAAAATCAAACATAAGAAGAAGAAGGTTAAACTTGCTGTACTCAAATTTTATAAGGTATTTAAATAATCATTTCTATTTTAATAATCTTTTTATTTTAATTTAACAATTTAATAATTATAATGCAATTATAATTTGAGTTACAAAAAAAATTGTAACATTAATTAAAAATATAAAATGAATAAACCAAGATTTAAAACATTTTGAAAATAACTAAAAACTTTTATATCTGTAAATAATATTTTTCTATATTAGGTTCTATTAAATTAAATTTAAACAAGTTTTAAGTGAAAAAATTTTTACAATATTTGTTATTACAATTTTATATAAAACATTTTTGTTCAATGTTAAACAGGTAGATGAAAATGGAAAAATTCATCGATTAAGAAGGGAATGTCCCATGGAACAATGTGGTGCGGGAGTTTTTATGGCTGCAATGGAAGATCGTCATTATTGTGGTAAATGCGGTTATACTCTTGTATTTAACAAACCAGAAGATAAATAAATTAAAAACATGTAATTTTACTTAATTAAAGAAATTTCATAAATACGAAGCTTTTTTATTTTTTTAACTATTTATATATTCATATTATTATACAAATTAGATATTACTGAAAAAAATTAAAGCAGATGGGATCGTTTAAAATTTTCAGAGTTTCTGTTAAAATTTTTCAATCCATTTTAAAGAATGGAATTTTAAGAAATGGGATGATTTTGCATATTTCTATATATTATGATTACATTTTATATATAATTAATATAATGTATATTCACAATTATATTATTTCAAATCATATTATAAAAAATATATATTTTTATTAAAATGAAAATATATTTTTTTAAAACAATAATGCTCTAAAAATGATTTATTTTTTTCCTTTACATTGTACTAATATACAACTTTTATTCATATGCAAAAACATATAAATATAAATATTCATACTTATATTTATATATATTTGAATGTGTGTAGTACAGGAATATATTACACAATAATGTAACTTAAGTTATTATAATATTCTATGTGCAAAAAAATTTTACACATAACATATTCTATAAACATTAAAAGTAATAAAAACGAACAAATTTAAATTGCATTTTCTATTGATCATAAATAGTTTGAATTTAGATACATATTATTGTTGTGCATTTGGAATTATAGATAATCATCACCATTATCATCATCATCATCATCACAGCGCACTGTATACCTAATTATAAATTATATGTAATAAGAAGTGT